ATAAAAAAGTCAACAAATAAATGGAATCTATACAAATAATTTTGAAATAATGCAAAGGATTCGTAATAAATTCTAAAAATCCTTCCAAGAAGGTGGCTACTTTTCAAGAGAATTATACCTCGAGTTTTCTCACAATTTTGTTAACCTTAGCCCTTGTTTAGTCTCCATTAAAAATACATTTTTGGGAAAAAAAAAAGAACTTTTGAATGGTAATATTTTAGAGAATGTGTGGTTAAAAAATAGAAAAAAGTTTTGGATTTAGGTATAGTATTATTTTATTGGAAAATGTATGATTGAAAAACAAATGTATTTTGAGATAACGGAACCCAAACAGGGGCTTTGCTTAATCAATTACATATTTCACCAAATATTGAAATTTGTAAATTTTGCCTTCAATCATTGCCAAAATCAAATAGATTATCAATAATATCGACAACTTTTTGTCATGTATTCCTTTTTCAAGACTTCCTTAGGTTTCAACTCCATCTTTTGTAGAATTATGCTATTTGTATATTGAAAATATACATCTTTGTTGACATTCAACGAGTTGTAAAAAGCTGTGTTATTGATTATTTTAAATGTTGTTAAAATTAATGGCAAAAATGTTGGTCACTTCACATACTGCCACCAAATTGTACCTGTAGTTGGACTATCTTTAGTAATTGAGTAATGCTATTCAGTATTACTGGTGTCAAAAATCAATGTAAGTGATTGAGTAATTGAGTAATGCGTCATCATTTTATAAAGAGAAGTTATGAAAAATATTCGAAAAAGACGACTCTGCACCTCATGTCATGACGGTTTGGCGTAAGTGTAAACGAGAATAATTTGGGATCACAAACATAAATTCGTGCACGAATTAACGATTGATTCATATTTGAAGAACACATTTCAATGTTTTTATTTTATACATCAAAACAACTTCCCAACAGAGAACGCTTTAAAGTGTTTTAAGTAGGAAAAGGCAAGAAACAAGGTCTAACCTAATTAAGACTCAAAACCCTAGACTAACTTGGGCAATATTGCCCTTAATTAATTAAAATGTATTAAACAAATAAAATAAACAATATGATTGATAATTGTCGACTCCATCAGTTTTGCTTATTTTAACTTTTTAACAATACGTTATGAGTTACTTTTAAATAAGTAATTTATTTATTTTAGTTTTGATCAAAGAAAAAGTTATAAGTAGTATCCCATGCTATTTTGAGTCCGTTTGACATTACTTTTACTTTTATTTCTTGCAGAAAAGTTTATAGATCATTTAACTTTTTTCTTAAAACTCTTCTAATCAATTGAAATACTTTCAACAAATTATTTACATACTTCTTAATTTTAAAAGCAATGTTTGATTTTTCAAAAGCCACCTCCTTTGTCATGGTGGCTGATTTGCTTCCTCTTGGAGAAGCAAAAGTATTTGAGTAGTGCTACACGTACTCCATGGACTACTGCATGAGTTACTTCATGTGCTGACGTGGCTACTCATTGACTATTCAACACAGCAAAAAAAAAAAAACCTAAGTAAAAGGCGCCATTTTAGAAACTCCCATCATTTTACAATCGCCTCCTCCTCCTCCGCTCTAAAAAAGCTCCCTGCGAAAATGGAACAGCACGTCGTCGGCGATTTGGACGACGGCAACCATACGTCAGCGAACCCGTTATTGTTCTCCCCATTTGAGTTCGACGCTGAGATACTCTGTTACGGAGACGGAGATGAAGCGGAAGCCGACAACTCCCAAGTCGACAACTACGACGTCGGTGACAACATGGGTAAGATGTTTTCTGTTTAATCTTCATTATATTGCCAGAAGGTGACAACATGGGTTCAATTTAAATTCCCACGCCGACAACTCAAAAAAGATTTCTACAATTTCTTAATTCAGCCTGGAGATTGGAATGCAGTGTGAAGGGTAGTTAATAGGAACAATGTGACTGCTTGTTGAATAAATGTGAGAATAAAGAAATGAGGTTGGTTGGAATGAAGTATCTGAAGATGGGAATTTGGAAAGGATGGAGATGGGGATGGAGTACATTCTGAAGATGGGAAGTGCTGATGGTTGTTACGGTGGGGTGCAGGGGATGGTGAACTAGCTAGGCAGTTCATTGATGGTTGTTTACTGTAAATTTCAAGACTGATTGTAATACTGAATGTTTACCAGAAGAGCTAGACAGTAGGCATTGTAAGACTAATTGTTTATTGTAAATTTTCCTAGAGCTAGACAGTAGCCATTATAAGGGGTTGAACTGGTTGCATTAATGAAAGGGGTGTATTTTAACTTATTGGATTTGTACAAACCAGTTAAAAATTGTTCCATTGTTGTGAATGCAGGTTATTCGGAAATTAATTCATCCGAAGAAGACAATCCGATTGATATGAGCATAGGAGAAGTTAGCTGACTTGGTAGCACATGACGAGTCACAGTCACATGAAAGTATGGAGATGATTGAATTTCAAACAGTAGAGTCATCAATGTTAAAGTCTATGACTGGGGCCTCCCAGAGCGTCGATGAAGCAGGACAATCAGTTGGTGGAAAACTGTTAGACCCGAAATACATAAAAACAAAGGGAGCGCCTTAAAAACTTCGCCAAAAGGGGAACTAGAAAAATCAAGAACCTGTCATAAGGTATGATTTCGGGACAATTTGTTGTAGTATATGTATATATTTGTTTAGAATCGCTTCACATTGAAACTGATATTTTTTTATGATGTATAGGTGCCAACGAACTCTACATCGAAAAGACAGAAAGGCAAAGTTCCACCTCCCTTCAATGTTTAGGTATTTGTCAAACTATACGCTTGGTTCGCGTGAGTTCCAAAACTAAATATTTGAACATGTTATCTTTTTTTTTTTTAGGAGATTCGCAATACATCCACCTTCCCTTCCCAACTAGGCGGCACACAGGGAAGCGTAGGTGATTTTGATTTAGGGGTCTAAAGAATTCAGAGACATTCGGTTGTATATTTTTTGTTAATAGGAACTGACATGTTCTACGTGTGTGATTTTGATTTAGGGGTCCAAAGAATTCAGAGACATTTGGTGGTATATTTTTTGTTAATAGGAACTGACATGTTCTACGTGGGTGATTGTGATTAAGGGGTCACTTATCGCCACATAAATGTGGCTGTATATTTTTGTAAACACTTAACTGACAAGTACTCACAGCAGCTTATTCGGCTGTATATTTTTGTGTGAAATTAATGAAATTCATTTCTATTGTCATATAATTTTGCTCATTGATGTGAAGAGATAATGGTAATTGAAACAAGGAATATCAAAACATGTTCAAACAAATACATGAAACGTACACCGTTTGACATTCTTGTTCATAAAACTGAATAAGTGCAATAAGTCGAGGTCATTCAACTAAAATAATAAACATAATTCATATCCAATCTTTCGGAACTGCTTTCCCTTTACGCATGGTTATGTTGAGCGAAATCTCCAAGTCCCTCTCCTCAATTATTTTTGCACACGCTTTCAACATACGGGATAAATCACCGACAAGTATGGGCATCCCGCTTTTTGGGGCATTCCGACAACACGTGTCCTGCCACCCTACAAGAATGACATATTCCCCGGTTCTTCCCGACCATTTTGAGACAAAATTAAAAAAAAAAGAACAAATTACTCGTGCAACACAGATTAACCTCAAACTTTCCCATACTGCTTAACTAACAGATTACCACAAACTGCATAACATACTGCTTCATTTCCCGGCCATCCCCTACACTGAAATCATGCTTCACACATACACTGAAAATCATGTTTTTAACACATACACTGAAATTATGCTTCTAGACCAAAAAAAAATTTGTATAATTGATGCATTCCACAACTTGAACAAGCTACACTCAAGCATTATGACTGTGCACATTCCACAACTTAAACTATTTGCAAGCTCAAAGAAAAAAAATTTCCATATATATGCAATGCTATTTCAGCAACGAATCACACTAATATTTCAACGACGAAGCATTCCTCTACTTGTGGGAACTAATATTTCAAACCCACTGCATTCGAAATGGATTTCATAGTTATTATGCTGTGTGCGAAATGGTGGGTGTGGTGGGTGTCTCGATTTCACAGAAATTAGCGCTGGGGCATGGGGAAGAAATTAGCGAAAAACTCGGTGTCTCCCAAACACGAGTGAATGGGTACTAACCTCGATAGTGTAACTTCAGTACTTACGGTTGTTGTGGCGACGAGTGGTTGATTTCACAGAGAATGTGCCAGCGATTTCACAGTAACAACAAGATCTCTGGCGACTTCACGGATGGTGCCTCTAGTTTTTTATTTCGTCGGATCGTGATAGAGTGAGAAAGGAGTGGCAAGGGGAGGGTAGGGGGTGATTTTGGGAGTTTGATTTCGTGATCGTGAGAGAGAGAGAGAGGAGTGCAAGGGGGTTTGATTTTTGGGGGTTGATCCAAACAAATTTGAAAAGGAGCATATCACGTGATTTTTTTTTCAAACTGATTGCCGTCATTTTTGAATAGTCAACCAATGCCATGTCAGCTTGAAGTAAAGGTTTCAGGACATACGTGGAGGACATCTATCTTTTTCGTTATCTATTAACTTAGTATTTTTGGTCAAATAAATTAATTATTTGCGAAGTATGAGTATTAGCGAATAAGGAACATATTTTAAAAACGTAATTCATAATGGCAAAACATGCTTCGAAATCTAGTAGCCGAACTGTGAGTTATTCTCGTAAATTGTCCAGCTATACAAAAAAACACAGAGATTGCCTTGATAAAACAGCTCAATTCATTGATAATGGATAAAATTCTTGGGCTTTTCTTTCTGGCGGCGGAGAAAATGGAGCCACCCTTATGCCGGCCAAGGGACAGTGAGACCACCTTTTGTCTTTACTTATCAAAATGCCAAACCCTCAATTGCTACCACCGTATGCATGGTGTAAGGAAACCATAACCAGTCACTTTCACCACTTAGATTCCTTGCAAAAGTCAAGAATATTCGGAAATTCGCCGTTGTAAGGGATGGGTTGTATTCAGGCTAAGGGGACCGTGTGCAGCCCTACAAATGGTCTTGGCAAGTTGAAACTTGACAATGGATATGTTCAAGGACGTGATGCAAAGAAACAGGATCACAATAAGGCATCTCGGCCCAAAGTGGACGTTAAGAATGAGGTGGTTGCCGCCGGCGGTGGTGGGCGGGAGAGAAAGATCAGTAGAGAAGGTGAGAGAGGCATCAATGGCGGTGGAAATGTTTCACAGAGGATTTCAGTCAAGAAACTTGCTGTAGATGAACTGGTTGGTGGATGGCCTAAATGGCTTGTTGATCATGTTCCCAGCGATGTTTTGGCTGGTTTTATTCCAACAACTGCTGATTCTTACGATAAGCTCGCAAAGGTCAGTATTAAACAAATAAATAAGTAATTTTATCAGAAAATGAATGCAATAATAATTAACTTTGATTTTATCTGCAAATTCAGTGAG